CTCTGCTGTGATTAGTTGTTTTTCAACAGCTCTGATTGGTGCATTTCGATCCTTTCTGTTCATTCAGTGACCTGCTCCCTCGGCGGTCCGCTGTCGCACGGCTCTCTTGTTGTTGTTTTTTGATCGTGGGCATCCACGCTTCTGGAATTTCTATTCCTCTATCCCTGTTGATGTTGTTAGGGTGAAGTCTTATATGAATTGCCTCTTTGACCCTGCGCGTGTAGTAATAAGGGTCACGATCAATAAACTCTACTTCGTTCCAGACTGGCTTGTGTCCGGTGTTGTGGGCATGCTCTGAAACGGCGGAGGTCTCGGTACGGGCGAGTCGAATGTCTCGATCGTGCTCCTTAATTCTGCCTTGCATAGGTCTTCCAGTCTGTCTGATGTATACCTTGCCGCATTCACAGGGAATCCTGTAAACTACGCCATCTTGTTTAGCCGAGTCGACGGCGTCTTTTGGTCGTAATTACTGAGATCTTAGCGTAGTCTCCGGCTTGAAAACAGCGCGTACGCCTTGTTGTTGTACGCAACGGCGAAGCTGTTCGGAAATACCTTTGACATAAGGTAAAACCGCAGTAGTTTTAAACTCGTTGGCGGGTTCGGCATTGTTGTATGGTTTTCCGGTCTTGGTAAGTTTCTGCAAGAAAGAATCAAAGTGCTCTATGAGCAAACTCGTGAATTGACACATGATTTTTTGGATTATATTTAATGTTATCTGTTTTAGGGAATTTTGTGGTTGATTGTCGTATTTAGAGTACAAGCAGTAGTTCAGTGTTCGCTAATGTAGCAAAGAAACAAAGTAATTGAAATTGAAATGATCATGCTATTACATTTGACAAGGGTGGATGATGTCATGTGTTTTAAACGTATATCATTTTTGTTTCTGGTTCAAAAGAAAGGTTGAAAGTAAATGTGGGTGAAAAGTGAAATTTACTGTCTATCATTGTAAAAATTAGAAAATCAAGGCAATACTGTCTTAATGAAAACATTAACGATTCCCTCTTTATCAAATGAGACAAACGGGAACGAGTTTTGAGTGATAAAACCAAGCCAAGACTGCCACCGTCATTTTGGATCTCCGCCTGGGTAGATTTTAGTCACGTGCTAGGCAACGTATAATCAATAACAAGATAGAATTTCACTTCAGACCTATTTATCAATTTTGTGGTGTATAACTTTCACATTTTAGTACGTAATACGTATTTTGAATCTTCAAATTGTCTTGAAACTTAAAAGAAAATTGTTCGTTAAAAATTCACTGAAAATCGGTAGCTAAAATTGTTTGTTTAGGTGTTATTTGATTTTCGTGTTAACTTGTAATTTCGTCAGTCGCCGGCATCTTCTGTTGCTTCACATAGGAAAAACACACGATACGCAACGTAATGATCGATTTTGTCCTCAATCTCACGCTATAACAGAAAAAGCTTTTGAACATCTGTAAACTCTGTGCGCTTCACAGTAAGTGATATTTTCAATGAATCTTCGGATTGTTTTCAAGTTCAAGGATTGTGAATTACAATTTTATGAAAAACGAAGGTTGTTCTGTTATTTCAGTGTGAATCCTTGCATGCCTGCCAGTCGCTGGCGCCGCTTGTTGAAACTAAAACGAAAAAAAAACTATTTTAAGATTATCTTTGGCTTCTTTTTCACCCCACCACTATTCTTAGCCACAAAGGTCGCCATTATATTTGTTTATTGCTCGCCAAAAACTATCAAATGCACTCAAAAGCCTAAAATCGAAAAAAAGTTTACAGGAATCGACCAATCGAGCGAGCGAGCGAGCGAATGCTATTCCCCACATCGTATCTATAACTCGCTCTTACGCATGCGCGCAATTCACGAGTTAAAAAGGATAACCATTAGATACCAGAAAAAATGACAGATGTTTTGTCTCCTCAGAGATGACGGAGGGTTTTGTTACGAGACGTTTGGCGCGCTCGTAAAGGCACTTAACAATACCGCGTTTTACTGATTGAGGGTGGTGTGAATCATACGCTAAGTATTGATCGGTGTGCGTGGGCTTCCTGAATACGCTGATGGTGAGGCGGCCGTCAGGTTCTCTTAAAACTGCGGTGTCTAGGAAGGCGAGTTTGTTGTCTTTATCTGTCTCCATGATGAAGCGGATGAAAGGCTACTGGTTGTTTAAATGCTGTAAGAAGTCATCTACGTTTTCGCGATCCAGGATGGTAAAGGTATCGTCCACGTAGCGTTTCCAGATTCAGGCTCGTTGGATGATGTAGTTATCGCCTGTTCTTCGAAACTCTCCATGTAGAGGTTAGCAATAACAGCGGAAACCGGACTCCCCATGGCGGCGCCGTCTTTTTGCTCGTAAATTGATCCATTATACTGGAAGTATGTGGATCTCAATACGAAGGTCAAAAGGTCAGGGATCTGTGCAGGCGTTAGCGTGGTGCGGTCTGCAAGGCTTGGGTCGTTCTCGAGTTTCTGCAGTGCGACTTCTACAGCGGCGTCGATAGGAACGTTGGTAAACAGCGATTCTATGTCGAAAGATACCATGATCTCGTTGTCTGAGATCGTCTCATTGCTGACGGTGGATACGAGGTGGGCTGAATTAGTCACCGTGTACATTGACTTTCCTGTTAAAGGAGACAGGATTTTGGCTAAGTAAGCGGATAAATCATATGCAAAGGTATTTACGCACGATACGATAGGTCTTAGCGGTACATCGGCCTTATGGATCTTCGGTAAACCGTAGATTCTAGGCGGCTGTTTGTGTCGGGTTCTGATCTTGTTGTAAACGGCCTCTGGTAGATATCCGCTTCGCTTCAAGGTAAACAGCTTTTCGGACAACTTGCGGGTCAGACGGTCTGTCAGATCTTTGTTGAGGAGCTGGTTCGGTCCGTTCTCAATAAGCGTAGACATGAAGATTTAGATATATGAAAATTCACATATTTGCACTGCGGTGGAAAGAT